ACAAAGACTTTTATGCACTGAGTCATCTCACAAGCCTCCTATTTGTCTACTTTTGAATCAGATTCTTTCCTCTCATCATTGAGAATTTTCAGTTCTTTATATATTATGGATATTAATGATGTTATCAGGTATATCATTTTCAAATATCTTGTAACCTGTTAATTGATTGTCAGTTCACTTCTCAAGTAATTTCTGGGTATATATCCTACTCTCAGAATGCATGGGGCTTTGTAAATTCCTATAGACTAGGGGATTTTGATATTCTGCTTATGCACAAAAATTTCTTTCCCCAGTCTTTAATTTTAGGTTTCTAGCATGTCTGTGGTTTGCTTCATAATTCCCTTCTGGGTAGAAATGGACTGTTCTGCCATTCAAAAACATTAGGAACTACCTTTCATGTGGCAATTTTATTTTATGTATTTATTGGTCCAGAGATAGACTAAACTAGGCAGAAAAAGCATTCTGTTGTTCTCCCTCTAGAGTCAGAGATCAAGGACCCACAATAGAAATGTGGGCTTATCTTCAAGACCTCTGCTGAGTAAAGGGAAGTAAACCAATTCCACAATACACTCTAACCATTTTTAAGCTGCCTTTTTCTTGAATCATCATTTAATTCATTTCTGTTGGTTGGTTGGTTGGTTGGTTGGTTGGTTGGTTGGTTGGTTGGTTGGCTGGTTTGATTTAGTTTGTTTTTTTGAGACAAAGTCTCACATTGTTCTCTAAGCTGGTCTGGAAACTCACTATGTATCCCATACTGGCTTCTTTTTTGATATTTCGAGAAGCATTTTCTTTTTCATTATTTATAGCTTGTTCTTTGAGGTTGTTGGCATAGACTATCTATGAACAAACATATTTTTATTTATTCCTTTGTAAAATATGTACCTTTTATTTTTCCTTTTCCCAGAATAGGATTCCCGGGAAATTTTTAATTCTTTGGGGTTTGTTGAATAGGCTGATGGCTGAAGAAAAAAGCATAAGTGTCTCTTGCTCCAGACAGCTGTTTTCAGGACTATGAACAGAGCCAGCCATACAGTCCCAGGTCCAATTCTGAGTGGGGTTGTGTGGACTAGGGGAATCTAACTATCCAACGGCACTAACGATGAGGCAGGAAACACCATATCATCTCAGGAGGGCTCCCAGCTGATACCGAGAAGCCATGGTTTATTGAGGAGTCCATTTAAGTAGTTTTCCAAGGGCAGGGGCAGCACCAGGAAGCATCTATTATGATGTATATAGCTGACATCAAGCGATTCTATTAATTCAAGTGTCACCTAAACAGTTCCTAGGCACATAGACAGAGTTCTCAGCCCAGGTGCGGACCTACTCAATGCGTAGGCTCACATAGAGATGCAAACTAGGAGGCATTCTCCACTGAGGCTATGCCACTCAATAGCAGATTAGCTAGCTTCTTCAATACAATTGCAGACTGGAGCTCCCGGTTACTGGAATTGGAGGTTTTTTGGACCCCAAGACACTTTCTAATAGAATCGTTCTTGGCTCCAGTCTCTTTAGATTACCTCCTCTCTTTCTAGTGTTATTATACAAATGTTTTAGTCATTATTCATGTTACATCTGTCTTCTACCAGGCATTCTCCACAATCTAGCAAACTATTTAAGGCTTTAAAGATCTTATCTTAATTGTTTTACATTTTTATTTATTTATATATTAATGTCTATGTGCTCATGTAGCTATGGGTGGGTCTGCCAGTGCTACAGTATATATATAAAGGAATGGAATTTAGGTTGTCAAGCTTGCTGGCAAGTGTCCTTAACCACTAAGTCATCTCATGAGCTCCTGATCTTAAATTTTTTTCACTTTATTTTATGTATCTCCATTAATAGATTGCTTTCAATGGCTGAGTACACTATTAGAGTTGATATTCAAATTTCAGTGACTTAAAGAATGCAGGGAGCACAAGATGACAAAAGAATGTTTCCAAACTTTTTGTGTTATATTAACAAACACCTGAGACTACCATACATCATTTGTGATTTAAATACATAATATATAAAGTGTGGAGACTATCAGTAAATACTTTTTCATGTAATTCAGAGGGAGGATAAAGAGTAAGAGGGATTGATACACACCAAGTTAGTAATGCATTTAAAAGCCAGAACAAAAAAGTAATATAGTAAGAATATGAATAAATTGACTTCCAATTCTGGAGACAGAGAAGTCCAATATAAAGGCTGGTGTCTGGAGAAGACCTTCTAGCTACATCATCACAAGAAGTAAAGAAGTTTAAAAAAAAATAGCTTCTTCTTTCATTCTAATTTCTTTATCAAATGGCTATTGGACTATTTCTTTGGATTTCTTTCTTAAGTATATTTCCTTATTCTTTACACAGATAGGCTAAGAGTTTTATAAATCTTTAAATTCTGCTTCTCCTTAAATTCTATCTTTAAATCACTTCTCTTTTTACAATTTAAAATAGACAGTTGAAAACAAGCCATGTATCAGGTGGTTAGGTATTTCTTTAGCCAGATAAGTCATCTAATTCTAACTCATCACTCTTAAATTGTGATTTAATAAAGTCCTAAAGCCAAGCCATGGACACAGTTCAATCAAGTTCTTTGCCACTTTAGAACAAGTAGGACCTTGCCTCTGGTTTCCAATACTATTTTCTCATTTTTGTCTGAGATCTCATGAGAACTGCTTTAACTACCCACATTCTAGTCATAACATTTAAGAAATCTCTAAGAATTTAGACTTGTAAGTCTTTTCTTCTGAGCTATCACCAGAATTGCTCTCTATATTTTTATTTGTGGTAAATATAAGCTTTCATAGCCTATACATCCAATTTCTTCTAGCCTCTATAACCAACTCCAAAGCAATCTCTATAATTTGACATTTTTGTTATAAGAACAACCAGCTCCCAGTTTCTCTGATACAATTTTGTCTTTATCCCTTGACAGTTTCCATAACAGAGTACATATCCAGCCTGGAGATTAGAAAGTCCAAGATCAGAGTGCCAGCATCAGGATACAAAGAAACAAATAAAGTTAACCTGGCTCTTTTACAGCAGCATTAATGTTATCCTCAAAAGTCTGACATTTTGCCAGGCATGATGGCACATGCCTTTAATCCCACTGCTCAGGAGGTAGAAAGAGGCAGGTCTCTGAATTCAAAGCCAGGTTGATCTACATAACAAGTTCCAAACCAGTCATCTTAATATTGTACAATGGCAAATATGTTTAAATGAGAGTTTGAGTAGGGCAAACACTCAAACCATAGCAAATGGGTTAACTATGATTACAGCACAACAAAAACATAACAAAGGCAAAAATCTAAAGGAGACATAGCAGGGGATACAAAAGGAAATGTGATTCAAGGCAGGTTTAAGAGTGTAAATTATAGCCAGGCAGTGGTGTCGCATGCCTTTAATCCCAGCACTTGGGAGGCAGAGGCAGGCGGATCTCTGTGAGTTTGAAACCAGTCTGGTCTACAAGATCTAGTTCCAACACATGGGGAAGGGCCTAGGCCTGGCCCAGGATGATGTTGTAGACTTTGGGGAGCCCCTTTTGAGGGCCTTACCCTGCCTGGGGAGTGGAGGGGGGATGGCTAGGGGCAGGTGGGATGTTGGGGGGAGGGGAGGGAGTGGGAGAAGGAATTGACATGTGAAGCAAGCTTGTTCCTAATTTCAATTAATAAAATAAAAAAATAAATAAATAAAAAGATCTAGTTCCAGGAAAGCCTCCAAAGCCACAGAGAAACCCTGTATCGAAAACCAAAAACAAACAAACAAAAAAAAACAATAAAAAAGAGAGTAAACTATTAGTATACTAAAATTATATTCAGAGAAAAAAGAAATAAATAGGGCACTTGCTGTCCTAGACATATGGTACTGTAATTCAGTAGGGCAAAATGATAGGAGGAAAGGAAATTTCAATAAGTATGAAAGTAAAGTGTGAAATCTTATCTCACTGACTGCTTTGGAGGCAATGAGGGAGAGGTTTCATTAAATTTGATAAAATATTGGATACAGGAGACTATTTGGGTCTACATACATAGGTGTGGATATTATTAATAAATAGTTTTCCATGTGATTCAAAGATGATATTAACAAAAGAAAAACAAAGAATAAGAGTAACTAGCACAAACCAAATTAGTAGTGTTTCTAAATGCCAGGAAAGAAATTCAATATTATACAACAACCTACAAAAAAGTGGTGGAGCCAGGCATGGGTGATGCACACTGGTAATCCCAATAGTCAGGAAAATCATGAGTAAGAGTCCAGCCTAGGCTAAATAGCTAGTTCCAGGCCAGCATGAGCTGCATAGTAAGACTCTGACTGAAGAGGAAAGGAAAAGTGACAGAAATAGGAATGGAACCAGTCAACAGTGGTTTCATAAAAATTAATTAAAATACATAATCAATTAATATCACTTGTTTTTAAAAACATCAAGCAAACTCATGTATATTATTAAACACCATCTTTCAGGTTAATTCCCTCAAAGCAATTAATTCTATGAAAGAGGAAGCTTAAAAATCAGGCTAAGTAGAGCCCCCATTGAGGGCCCTACCCTGCCTGGGGAGTGGTGGGTGGATGGGGTGAGGAGTAGGTTGGAGGTGGGGGAGGAAGGATGGGGGTGAGGGGATGGAGAGGGAGAAGGGATTTACATGTGAAACAAGCTTGTTCCCTAACTTGAACTAATAAAAAAAAAAAAAATCAGGCTAAGTGCCAGGTGGTAGTGACACATTCCTTTAATCTCAGCTCTCAGGATGCAGAGGCAGGTGGATCTCCAAGTTTGAAGCCATCCTGGTAGACAGAGTAAGTTCCAGAACAGCCAGAACACACACACACACACACACACACACACACACACACACACACACACACACACACACACACACACCCACACACACACACACAGTTGTTTTTAAATACACTGGAACAATTACAGGAGATAAAAAAGATTAACATTAATAATCACATGGCTGACACTTCCTAAGTCAATACACAGACAAGACTAACCACACATCTGTTTTTCACAGAGCCATGGCAACAACAAACTGCATCCCTGATGAGCCTCAGCCTAGAAGAAGGCAAGATCTCCAAGAGATGCTGACAGAAGTGGGGCTGTCTGTTGACTACTGGCTGCCTAAGCTTCAGGAAGACCTGGGTGTGAACTGTGCCCAGGCCTTACAACACTTAAAAGAAAAAGATCTCCAGAAGCTGAAATCCCAGACACAACACACATGGGAGAAAAAGGCCCTAGAGAAGCTGCTTGACCTCTCACAGACAAATAGTGTTGCAGAGTTCCAGGAGACTCCAGGGGAGATGATAAAGAACAGGCAGAGGCAGGCAGGACAGGCACTGCAGGAATTGAGGGCCTTGCAGTCACAAGGGAAGCACAGACAGGAAGAGACAGTGAGGAGGAAAGAAGCAGAGCTGAGGCAAGCAATGGAGATCCCTGAGGAGTGCTGGCCAACTCCTGAAGTGCCCCTAAAAGATGTCACTGAAACAATGGAGAGACATCTCAGTCACATTGAACAGACACTGGCAAATAGTCAAAACTTCTCACATAGAGACCTGGTAAGATGGGCATCTGGAGGGCTGGCCCTGAGGGGAATTTATAAGACCAGACACCAAAAAAGCCTGATTCAGAAGAAAGAAGAGCTACTCAGTGTCCCTATGGAGTTTTCACTTGCTGGCCCAGAGCATGGCACATGGATGGAAATGAAGGAATTTTCCTCTTTTCAAGAACAAGCCATGTTCACACAGACTATGGAGAAGCTGGGCTTCAGTCCAACCTTCTTAGCTAAAGGCGAAGGCTGGGGACTTAGTCTAGAAGCTGGTGTGGATCGAAGCAAACATACACAATCTGGGGATACCCACCAATCACATTCAGAGCAATCTTATTTCTGCTCAGCCAAGTTCAGATACATCCCACTGGCCACCTGCCACTTTCACATCCATCAGCTTCAACTCTCCAAGGCTGCTCTCCAGGAGCTAAAAAGTATTGAAGAGCTCCTGAATCAAACTACACACTCAGACAGATTCCCCTTACTGAAGCACAGGGCTGAAAACTTTTTTCACAGGTTTGGCTCTCATGCTAACCAAGGTCCTATGCACCTGGGGGGAATCTACTGTTGGATGGCCATTTCAGAGGGTTTCAAAAGAGAGCAATTGGCTGATGTAAAGCAGCAGGCAGCAGAATCCTTGAATATTTATGTAAGGGGCAGCTATGGTGGCTTTGGAGTTAAAGCTGGTGCAAATGTGAATATGTCAGACTTGCATGCAAAAACAGCATCTTACAGTACAACTCATCAAAACTTTCAAACAAAGGTGAAACTCTCTGTTGCCCAGATCGGTGGACCAGCAGAAGCAGATGGAATTGCTCAGTGGACAGCCGGTCTTGTTGCCAGCAATCAAACATGGTCTGTCATCGACCGGGGACTTCAGTTGGTACCCATTTGGGACATCATCCTCTCTAGCCACAAAAGTGATTTTAAGGATGCCCTTCAAGTGGCTAGCTGCCTGAAAGACAGCTACACTGCTCTGACTGGACTCATTGCCCAGATTCAAGAAGGAGAGGAATTTCTTACTGCTGGAAAAGAAGCTAGGCTTTTCCTAGAGGATGTGAAATGCTGGGAGGTTTCTGATCCTGAAGAACAGCTTAATAAGTTGATAGACTTTATGCAAACATTGAGTCAAAAAATAAAAAGTTATAACATTTGGATTAATACGTGCCTCACAGATTGGGATCTGCAGAATTTTCTAATAAATACTGTCAACTTTTGCAAAAATTCTCCCACTTACAAAGCTCAGTTTATTAAATCTCAGTTCCGCAGCCTTCTAGAACCTCATGTCTACAAAGTAACAAACTTTCCTCAGGCACAATACATTATACAATGGATCAATCAGTCAGAGTCAGAGGAAGAACAAGTCAAAATCCCCTCATTTTCTGAATTCATTAAAACCTTAAAGAAAATCCACAAAAACCTAATGGAAGTGAATATAAAAAATGAGTCCCCAGAAACAGTGGAAGAAGCTAAAAGAAAGGCTACATATAAGGTGACCACAGCAATTGGCTCCTTCTTGAAGTACCTCAGAGAAACAGAGCAGCCAGACATGCAGCTGATGCTACTCTCCATCGCAGCTGGGGCAGGCTATCAGTTGGCAAACAATTTTTTTCTGCATCTTCTGGGATGTAATGAGTTAAACTTCCTCTTGGATCAAATGCAAACTATCCAACACAAATATCAAGAACTTAAAAATATTTGCAGCTACAGAGGACAGGCATTCCTGGTGTTCACAGCTCTCAGAGCCACAGTTGAAATCACAGATATTTCTACAGAAGAGAAAAGACAACGTTTGGCATTAATAAGACAACATATGGGACAACTGTTGTCTGAAGAAGTTGCACATGTTCTCACAAAATATGGAGTACATCATGATTGGGAAAATCTGGAGAACGATTTGAGATTACTCATTGATGGGGACTATAAAGCCACCATTCCTTCCTTGAAAATGGATGAGGTAAAAAAACAATTGCAAAGCCTCTGCCCTGAAAAGAAAGAGACTTATAAACAACAAAATAATGAAAACGACAAAAAGGATCTGATAGAAAAAGGACCTTTCCTAGACTTACTCCAGCGTCTAGGCCTAGAACATCACTACCCAAAAAGGATGAGCAGAGCTGACTTCCATTTGATCTACAAGACTTCTGTGTACAATACACAGCCAAGATCTGAAAAGGAACTTCCCTTCTATTTCCTACAAAAGCTACTGATGCTAGATTGTGGGTTCAGACATCTGGTCTTCAAAAATGACAAAAACATAGAAAACCAGATCTCCGAAGTTTCTTGTGATCATGAAAATGAAGATTTCGATCCGTATGAAGATATCATTAAAGAAAATGACAGTCTTACCTATCCTTCATCCACTGAGTCCTGGACCCACATTCACCCAATGGACATCCAGATGGCCATTTTTCACTGTGCAGACGATCTTGCCAGGCAGTATATATTGTCCAAACTTTCCATTTGTCAATTTGCACTCCCTCTTGTGGTGCCAAATCCCAACACGTCTCAGGTTGAATTTTCTCTCTGGTCTCTCAGACAAATTAGGAGAAGTTGGCAAAATGAAAGTAAATCACTACAGAACAAGAGCTACAGTCACAAGAATCAGCAGATGTGCCGTGTTGCCACCCCCATTGTGTCCTTCATTAGAGTTGGAAATAGCCTCTCAGCTTCCAAGTCTCAGATCATGAACTCTCTCCTCAGTAAACATAAACATGATGTGTTTTTTCACAGACACTGCAGAGGAAGCAGCAAAGACTGTCTCTTGATGGAAGGAGTGGTGGAGATCTGCTGGTTCTGTCCTGGGGGCCAAAGTGAGGACAGATTTGACAAGTGTGTGACCTTCACCAATCTTCATGGAGATGCCAAGGAACATAGACAACAACTCAGCTTCTTACAAGATGTCTCTTCTCTCATTGTGATCCTCATGTCAGCTTCTGATGACAATAAAGAAAATCAAAAACTTGTCAGACACCTCTGCAAGTCATCAAGACCTCTAATATGCTTGATTGATGACAAAGAAAAGGCCATAGCCAATAATTCGGGTAAAAGTATGAGAATTGGCATCAGGAATAGAAATGAGGCCGAATTAACAGAGGAGCTCACAAATGCCATCAAACATTTTCTAGAACTCTCTAATACTGCTTTCAGCTTAGAGGACTGTTCACAGATGGCTCAAAAACAAGGATTCCTTATTGATGAGGACCAGAAAGACTGCAAGGAAGCCAAAGAAAAGGCACAGACTATAATGGCCCTCCTGGAGGAATCCAAGTTATCTCAGACAAAAGAAAATTTATTACCTCTTCAGGGACAACTTTGGCACCTTTGGTGTAAGAAGGACAAAGAATTCTATCATCTGAGAGAAAAGGGGAATCGGAGCATTGAACAACACAAGAGTGAGATTGAGACAGATAAAAGAATAATTCGATGTCGGCAATTGGAAAAAGCCTTTCCTCTCAATGATTTAATGCGCTCTGTTCTTGAAGTTCTCCAAGAATATTCAGAAACTCATAACAAACTCTACTTTTTGCAGTGGCTAAGTCTGTTTTTTGACAACCTGACTACAGAACACCTAGAAAAGTTGCATGAAAAGCAAAGATCTTTGTGGTTAATGGCACAAAAAGAAAAACAAAAATCACAGAAGAGCAGCTCCCTGACACTCTGGCAGAAACAGATAGAAGCCATCTCTACTGAAATTCTTAACTGCACTTTAGGAACTGAGCACCTTCTCAGAGAAGTTGGACAGATCTATGAAGCTCTGGAAGAAATTTCCTCCTCTAGAGATAGCCTTTTTCTCTGCCTTCCTCAAATAGCTGCAGACCTGATGGTAGCTGGTGTTCCCATTGAGCTCATGGATGGGGATGCTTCATATGTGCCTCTAAAGTGGATAGCAGCTGTTTTTGACAAGATCTCAGAGAAAGTTGGAGATAAAAGGCTGTTTGTCCTCTCTATCCTTGGCCTACAGAGCTCAGGGAAGTCCACACTACTGAATGCATTGTTTGGGTTGCAGTTCACAGCCAGTGCAGGCAGGTGTACCAAGGGGGCCTATATGCAGCTCCTGAAGGTGGAAGAAACATTCACAGAACTTGGCTTTGATTTTGTGCTTGTTGTAGACACAGAAGGACTTCGAGCTCCAGAACTCAACAACAAATCCCAGAATTGGGACAATGAGTTAGCAACCTTCGTCATTGGACTTGGAAACCTGACTCTGATCAACATTTTTGGGGAGAATCCCTCTGAGATGCAAGACATCCTACAGATAGCTGTCCAAGCCTTTCTAAGGATGAAACAAGTGAAAATCTCCCCCAGTTGCCTCTTTGTCCATCAAAATGTGGGAGAAGTTACAGCTAAAGACCAAAATGTGGAAGGGCGAAGGTGCTTAGAGCAGAGACTGGATGAAATGGCAGTAACAGCAGCAGAACAAGAAGAGTGCTCAAATGTATCCCACTTCAGTGATGTCATTAAGTTCGATGTCAATAATCATGTCTACTACTTTGCCCACCTCTGGGACGGTAATCCCCCAATGGCCCCTCCCAATCCTCGTTATAGTCACAATGTCCAGGAACTAAAGAGTATAATTATTTAAAATGGCAAACAGGAATCCAGAGGTAGCATCATGAAGATTTCAGATGTCAAATTTAGAGTTCAAGATCTGTGGAAAGCCCTAGTAAATGAGAACTTTATTTTCAGCTTCAGGAACACCAGAGAGGTCATGGCCATGAGCAAGCTGGAAACTATGTATAACCATTGGACCTGGGAGCTGAGGAGTCACATGCTGGACTTTCAGAACCAGCTGATCAATCAGATTCAGAATGGGAAAGTTGAGGCACTCAAAACAAGCATATTTGAGGCTCCAGTCACAGAAAAGTATACAGCAATTAAACAAGAACTTGAAAAATATTTTAATGAAGATCCAGACAATGAAATACTGGTTCAATGGAAATCAAATTTTGAAAATAAGCTCATAATCTTAAAAGAGACACTTATTTCAGACACCAGAAGGAAAGCCAATGAACTTATTCATTTAAAAAAAAATCAAGAAAGACTGGATAAGAAAAAGTCAAGTTATGCAAATGAATTATTGGAAAGGAGCAGAAAGTTGGCTTTAACTGTAAAGGGTAAAGAATTAAATGAAGAAGAATTACGTGAAAAATTCGATCCACTTTGGAAAAAATGGGTCTGTGATGTGTCCTCAGATCTTCCTCCAGTCATAGAACCTGACATTGACACAGATTCTGAAAACATTCTTTGGGAGTATTTCCAAAAGGAAATAAACATGGTAGACACACTAATGAGAAATTCTGGAGATAAATTTCAAATAAATTATGATGAACATGTAAAAATGAATAAAAAGTATAACTTCATGACTAGGACATTAAAGGTCTGTGATAGGGAATCCATTAATATGACTACTGACCATATTATTTCAAGATTTAATGAAACTATCAACAATATTCATAAGCAACAATGTGATTACAATTCAAGTTATTTCCATGAAATCCTGAGGATAATAGAAGAAGAAGTAAAATCTGCACCTACTGAGGGAAGATACACATTTACAAGCAAATATATCCTTGAGTTGTCATTATGCTTATTCCAAAGAGCATCTAAGAGTTTTAAGGAAATGCACAAAGCATTCAAGAGAGCAAATGATCCTGTGAACTATCTGGAGAGGAAGAAAGATGATTTCTTCATGAGTTTTAAGATCTCCTGCCAAGGTGCCACCTCCATCAAAACATTTGTTGATTTTCTTTGGCACAAGCTCACCCCTGCTATCTCTGCCACCATACGGGGGAAAATGGTCATTAAAATTGCTGGAGCAATGAGAGCCACCTGCCCTGCATTCAATGGAAACAGGGCTAACCTGGAGAAACATATTCTCATTTCTCTGGCAGAAGAAGAAAACTTTGATAAGTATTGGCAATACATTCATCAGCCAGAATCCTTTTTCAGGGATTACATTAGTGATCACATTAGAAGATACTGTTCAGAAAAAGAAGGTGAAAAAGTAAATACTTTTTTAAAAATAAGTTTAGGTGACATCAAGAATGCCATCCTCACTGCCATTCATAAGACCACAGAAGTAGCTAATGATAACAACAGCACTGCTTCTGGCTGGTTGGATTTGTTCTGTGATCACCTAGGGAGCAACCTGATCTTTCCAAGAAGAGACCTGATAAGCATCGAGCACCAGGAGATTAAGGATACTGAATTTCTCAAAGAAGCTATGAGTGCAGCTTTGGATCCTGCAATGAGGAAAGTAGAAGAGGATTGCTCAAGGAGACCCATAGATGAAATGGTTCCTGACATTGAGAAGATTCTCTCTGAACATCTTTGTGGCTGCTGGAATCAGTGTCCTTTTTGTAAAGCAATTTGCACAAACACCATCCCCCAACATGAAGGAGACCACAGTGTGCCATTCCACCGTCCTCAGTCTGTCAGGGGAGGGGGATGGTATAAAACAAATGACTTTGACATTAGCTGCTGTAGTACTTCAGTATCAAGTAATAATTTATTTGTTTTAAGTGATGACAAGAAATTCCCATATAAGAAATATCGAGAAGCAGGAGGTAATTTTGCCACATGGAGCATCACCCCAGACTCATCTACCCAACCATACTGGAAATGGTTTATCTGTCACTTCAGATCAGAGCTTGAGGTGAAATATGGGAAAAAATTTACGAATTTAGGCAAGATTCCAGATTCTTGGAACAAAATCACAAAGCAAGAAGTACTTGATGACTTAAAAAAATAATGATGGTCAAAATACACCACTAGCAGTGCTACACAAATTTCACATTAACCTAGGAAGCCTAATACTCCAATATTTTCCTTTATAGGATGAAATGTGAAAAAGCTTGAAGATTTCCCTGTAAAATGTCTTTA